TCTTTATCTTATTCTTATATTGTTATCTTATTTTACATTTTTTATGTTTTTAGTTCTAATTTCATGTGTCGACAATTAGGGTTGGACTCGTGCCGGGTGGCCCGACCCGGAACCGGCCCGAACCGGCCCAAACCGGCCCGAACCGGCACTGTTCCGGCCCGGCCCGGTGGCCCAGTCAGTGACCGGTTCGGGTAGGCCCGACCCGCTGGGGTTCCGGTTTGGGCTCGGGCCCCTCAAAATGTGAACCGGCCCGGCCGGTCCGGGCCATTTTTTTTTTTTTTTTTTGATTTTTTTAAGTTTTTGGGTTGGGCTGGGTATTTTGGGTCATTTGAGATGGTTTGGGGGTGAGGGGGGGTGGTTAGGGGTTAATTAGGAAAAGCCAAAAAAGAAAAATTGAACCGAGGCCCGCCCCGGCCCGGCCCGGGGGTTACCCGAGCCGGTTCCAGACCTCCCCTTTCCTAAACCGAGGCCCGGCCGGGCCCAGGCCCGAACCGGCCCGGGTCCATGCCAATCGACAATGAATGTTGTTGACCGAATTACTTAAATTACATAAATACACACGCACCTCATTTTTAGGGCTCTGGCATAAAACAATGTAGTTGAGAAGGACAATATTTATATTCAAAGATTTGAGTTTTATACTTGTATAATTTGGGAGGTAATCCTCAAGCATTCAATCAATTATCTTTGCACCCACTATGTTACTAAATACACTGGGTAACCCCAATGGACAAAGAAAAGTGAAATTGAGAATATAAAATTAGTTCCAAATGCTTAAAAGTAGATACAAAATGCAAGTCTTCTCGCTTGTAATGCTCTTTTAGGAATATCTTTATTTGAATTAATTCCACTTTAGGTCCTCCGAGTTTTTTGTCATTTCCATATTTAGTCTTCGTCTTTCACTTCATCCATTTTTGGTACCTGACTATTGTTTGCTTGACCATTTTCGATCCATCTCTGGGCATTTTTACTACCGGAAAAGGACTATATATGATCAAGAAAACAATAGTCAGATACCAAAAATGGATAAAGTGAAAGACGAGGACTAATTGTGGAATTGGTGCAAAACTCGAAGGACCATGAGTGAAATTTCTTCATCTTTATTTGCTATAAAAAGTGTGACTTGTCTAAAGATTGATCCACAAAATATTGCAATAACCATTGTTCAAAATCACAAGTGTAAATAACACTCTTTACATGGATTAAAAAGAACTTTTAATCTCTTAAAAAAAAGCTTTTAATGTCAATTCAAAATTACCCCATAAAAAGCCTTTTTATATAGGTTAACTTACCAACCATTTTTGAATGCTTTTATGGGGCAAACTCTATATCCCATAGATTATGCATAATATAATCTATTGTTTTTGAACTATAATCAACATAATGACATCATTAAATGAGAACTATGACAAATATATATACTGATAATCGCAGCAAAATCACAAAGTTCCACATAATGCTACAAACATTTAATCCAAGTCAAAACTATAAAGTTTTACATGTTCAGTCCAAGTCAAAATCATAGTTCCGTATGATACTGACACCATTTGTGACACCGCACCCGAACGTCCTTGAAAATTCAATTTAAAAAAAAAATGAAAGTCTATGTATTGAATTTCCGATTTCCAAACAATTGTAAAACGATTAATGTTCTACGTAGCTCATAATTAATTATTGCACTGTTCAAACTCGTATATTAGTGTCGGGTTTTACAAATACTTATTTGAGAAAGGGGAAGCTGCCCGCAGGTTCGTTTTCCAGTGCGTTGGTTTGCTTGTTTGATTCATATCTCGAGCGTTACTTATCCAAATAAGGCGTGTGAGGTGCCCAAAGAAAGCTCTCAAGAAGAGGAATCCGTGAAGGTGCGTTTTGAAGCAAACGGAGTAGTGGAAGACTTCCAAATCGTTGAAACAGAACACAACCTCGCAGAATACGTTTTTGTATTCAAAGTAAGTTTGAATCCAAAACCTTCCTCTCTATTGTCTAAATCATATGAATGATTGAAGAACTATTATAAAATGGTTGAAGTGTATAAAATGTTATTATAAAGTGACTTTCATTGTTGGAAAGGTTAGATACTAACCTAGACAAAACCTTGAAAGGTTAGGGAACGAATTCGCCGGAAAAACAACCGTTCTAGGGGCGGTTTTCGTATCGACATTTAGGGGTTGAGCTAGCACTTTGAGGAGGCTGTTTAACACTTATAATTAATCAAGGAATCAGTCCTTAATCCACCTTGACCGAAGCTTTGACCACTGGATCAAGAAGGAAAAGTTTAAAGCTCAATTAAGGTGAGGATCAACATCTAATTGCTTACAACTTGTAGGTTAAGCATGAGATTACCCAAATGCCTAAATCATAATTTTTTCATGAATTATGATGATTGAATATTGATAAAATATTGATATAGTGGCCAAAGAATGAAATTGGAAATGATTTGAAGTTGTATGGATAATATGAGATTTAATGAGTTATTAATGAACTATTTTGGTGAAATATGCATTTTACTCATGTATGAATTATGTGGATACATAAATGAATATTTATGTATTGAAATTGAGTACTTAAGTTGCTGCTACATACTTATAAATATGTAGAGAATTTCAAAATGAGGATATTCGTATGATGACAATAATCTTAATAGTATTGAAATACTAGTTAGTGATTATTTGAAGTTGTTGATGGAATTGATCCTAAGTATTGGATTGTATGAAATGAACTTTAATGTACCTCAAGTGTATAGAATGACTTAGTATGAAGCTAAGGGTAAGTTATGGGCAGTCATTAAGAATGACACAAGGTAGATTATTGAAATGTCAATTCTAGGCATAGGGTTGCTTAGGAATTGGATTATAATGAGGAATTAGAGCCGGACTCTATGATTTGCATGGAAACGTAGTTGGTCCGAGACCTTGCCATGTAAATTGTGATTTGCATAGAAATGTAGTTGGGCCGAGCCCTTGCTATGCAAATGTGATAGGATGCAAATTGTGATTTGCATAGGAATGTAGTTGGGCCGAGCCCTTGCTATGCAAATGTGATAGGATGTAATTGTGATTTGCATGGAAACGTAGTTGGTCCGAGACCTTGCCATGTAAATTGTGATTTGCATAGAAATGTAGTTGGGCCGAGCCCTTGCTACGCAAATGTGATAGGATGTGATTGTGATTTGCATGGAAACGTAGTTGGTCCGAGACCTTGCCATGTAAATTGTGTTTTGCATAGAAATATAGTTGGGCCGAGCCCTTGCTATGCAAATGTGTTAGAATGTACTTGACATAAAGGATTGCATAGAAATGTAGTTGGGTCGAGCCCTTGCTATGCAATGGTAACGTGATGAACTTATGACTTGTCGTGGCTTATAGTCACGGGGAATGGGAATGGTGATTTCTAAATGAACATGGGCCCACGGGCCGACTACTTGACTTTTATACAAAGTAAGTATATTTTCAAACGGGGTAACTTAGGGTTACCACTATATTGTATTATCACCCTATTTGAGGGTCTTGTGTTTGAAATACTTGTTGTATATCCCTTAGATGCCATCCACACCAGTACTTTATAGCCGTATAGAGTACTGACCCCTTCGGGGGCGTCCCACCACCATTTCAGGTTGAAGCTCGAGCTTGCTACATGTGCCCGTTGCTCGGGCGATCCTTTGGAGAGAAGACGTGGTTCGTGCTTTCTCCATTCTGTTTTGAACAATATTAAACATGCTCATGGATATTTTACTATAGAGCCTGCGTGCTCATGAATAGCCCCGTGTGGCCCTTTTGTTTTAAACAATGTTTTCCGCTACGTTATGAATTACTTATTATGTTTGTTTATGGATGTTATGTGTGTGAATGATATTCAAGACGCCTTGTATAATATGAATGTGTTGGACTGCGGTTGACTATTCGTATTGTACGGCGGGTTGTTGACGTGTCCGGGGAAGTCCGGGGCGTGACACCATTCATGCTACACATATCAAAACAGAACCATGTCTAATATATACTCCGTATTTAACAGCAAATGGTTGTAGTGTCACATACAAATGATGCCCAACACTCTATCATCTCGTGAATGTCTCGTAGAGTGAATGACTCTTGAACATTGAAAATCTGCAAAATAAAAATTAAAAGTAGAAACGCATTCAATAATATATAAATATAGAAGTAAAATTGTACTGTAAAAAAGTTAATATAAAAGTAATAAGTATTAATTTAATGAAGCACAACTCAAAAAATCATCACTTCAATCCATGAATCAACAACAAGTGCAGTCTGCAAATATTATAGAAGTCATACGCCTCGTAACATAAAACTCACACTCATGGCTTCCCCTTTAATTTGCATTCGACACTGCAAATACATGTACATGTAAATATTGTATTGTAGTTTACGAACAAAGCCACACAATTTAATATATATTCTCTTTGAATCAGATTTAGAACATCATGAACACTCTTATTGCTTTTGATATATAGAATACATACAATTAACTGCCTATAATTTTCAAATGATTAAATATCCAAACGGGGAAGCTAAGGGGGTGTTAGGGAGTGCTTTAAGTGATAATATAACGATAAAAAATAGGCATTTTGGAGACAAAATGCCTACTTTCGAAGGTATATGACACTTGTTTTGTTTAACCTTAAAAGATCTATTATCATTTTACTGAATCAAGTTTTTCCTTGTAAAAAATGTATGTGGAACAGCAAAAGAAAAAGTCTAAATCGAACATATATCTACTAAAGCCAATATGTTATCGGAAAATCAAAAAGAAATTTAGTTGAGGTATCTACACTTAAAAGAGAACTGCATTATTAGTGTTGGGCTACATGTTGTTATGCTCTTTAAGGTGTTATTTTGGGATGTTAAATATTGAGCTAAATTATCTTATCTGTGGCATAAGAGTATAAGCCAATGTTCTTGTCGAGTTGAGTTTGTTGTTCTCCTGATAAATGTTTGGAAACATTAAATCGTTTGACGCCATAGAGGATCCTTCTGGGCAGCGGAATAAGAAGTGGGTTCCACAAGTTTGGTGATATTATTAATAAATAGGAGGTGTCGGGGTGTGTAGTTGGGGGTGTGGAGGGAGGAGTGAATAGGATATGGAACCGGACGGGTGTGAATGGTAGAGAGATTGCAAGCATAGTCCTTAAGATAAGTCGGAGGTTTAGAGATGCGGTTAGAGCGGCGGGGTGGCTGCTGAGAGGACGGGTTGGGACTCACGGTGTGTGGGAGGGAGCTAGATGGGTCTGGAGTAGCCCGGTTAAGGATAGGTGAATGAGGGTCAAGGACGGGGTGGGAGGTAGTTGCTGGGATAGAGGGTGATGGATGGTCAACACCTTCATGGTTAACAGGATGGGGCACAATATCCTCAAACGAGGATGGTCGCTGGGAGTGGCTGGAAGGTGAGGTGGTGTGCGGGTGTGTAGGTGAAGAAGGAAGATCAGGAATGGGAAGGGGCAGAACATGAGAGGGTTCGGTGGAATCTTCAGAAGTCGCATGGAAAGGAAAAATGTGTTCATGAAAAACGACATCGCGACTAACAAAAACTTTTTCAGTGTCAAGATCATAGAGGCGGTAGCCTTTTTGACCGTGCGGGTATCCAATAAAAATGCAACGCCTAGCGCGAGGGGAAAATTTATCGGGGTGGTAATGGATGGTGGAAGCATAACAAAGACAACCAAAGGACCGGAGATGACTAAAAAAAGGTGGTTGGTGGAAAAGAATTTCATATGGAGTTTTGTGTCGAAGGATGGGAGTGGGGGTGCGATTGATAAGGTAAGTGGCGGTAAGGAGACAATCACCCCAAAATTTGAGAGGGAGGCCAGCTTGAAAGCGCAACGCACGAGCCACATTAAGGAGATGGCGGTGTTTGCGCTCAACAACCCCATTTTGTTGGGGGGTGCCGGGACAACTGGTTTGGATAATAATTCCATTTTGGAGAAGCAGATTTTGAAAGGATGATTGAGTAAATTCCAAGCCATTGTCGGAGCGGAAAGTTTTAACACAAGTATGGAATTGAGTTTTAACATAATTAAGAAAATGCACAAGTAAAGCATCAGATTTAAAATGCATTAAATAAGTCCACGTCATTCTAGAGTAATCATCAACAATAGTAAGGAAATAAGACTGATTAACACGAGTTGGGGTAGAATATTTTCCCCAAATGTCAACATGAATTAAGTCAAAACATGCACTAGTAGTAGGATGATGCAATGGAAAATGTAAACGAGTTTGTTTAGAGAAATGACAAGTGTGACATATATTATTAAAAGAAGAACATCCCAATAAAGGAGCTAAATGATTAAAAACAGTAGCAGAAGGGTGTCCAAGGCGAGAATGCCATGTGCCAGAAGAAACACTTAAAAGAGCATTTAAAGATTCAGAATGGGAAAAAACATATAAGCCACCGCGTTCATGGCCCCGACCAATCTCCTTCTTCGTCAAAAGGTCCTGAAAAATACAATAATTAGGGAAAAAAATAACAATGCAATTGGAGTATTCAGCCAATTTTCGAACAGATAACAAATTAAACTTGAAGGTAGGCACATATAAGACATTGTCCAAAAAAAGATGAGAAGATAGTTGAATGGTACCAACTCCATGGACAGGAATAGCCGTGCCATTAGGGACAGAAATATTTAAATCAGAAGACGGGGAAACGGGAAATGTTGAGAATAAATTAGAATTAAAACAAACATGGTCCGTGGCACCTGTATCAATAATCCATTCATGAGAATTAAAAATGGAAGAAGATAAAGCAAGAGGCATACCAATCATATTAGCTTTAGGTTCCTTAGAATCTTGAAGCAAACGAAGGAGTTTTTGAATAGGATCATTACCACCATTAGGAGCGGGAGTAGGAGTGGAGCTGTGAGTATTACCTTTGCGGTAGAATTTGTGACCAGGAGGGTAACCATGGAGGCGATAACAAACCTGCTGTGTGTGACCAAGAAGACCACAATGAGAACATTTGGATTTGGAGTAGCTTCGGGTGGACTGCTTGTTGGCGGCTGGATTCTGAGCTATAAATGCAGAAGGTGACGGAAGTAAACCAGGTAGAGAGGTTCCAGAAGAGGGCGGGTGTCGGGCAGAATCTGGCAGCAAAGGTGAAGGAGCAGATGCAGCCAACTGGAAGGCAGTGTGTTCCAAGGAAGAAGTAGATGGAGCGTGAAGTCGTTGGGCTTCATCTTGGAGGAGAAGAGAATATGCACGCTTCACGGAAGGGAGTGTGGTATTGAGAAGGAGTTGACTACGGGACTGAGCATATGTATCCCGAAGACCCATCAAGAACTGCATCAAACGACGGCGTTCGATTTGAGAAAAATATGCTGCCCGGGCAGTACAAGTGCATTGCGGTGGAGGGTCCAGGAGATTAAGTTCTTCCCATAATCCTGAGAGTTTGTTATGATAGGCAGGAATTGAATCATCTTGCTGGCGGAGAGTGGCAATTGAGCGTTCAATCTCATAAATGCGAGGCCCATTGGCGGTGGAGTAGCGGTCCTTGAAGTCGGACCAAACAGTGGCGGCATCTGGAGCATATAAAACCGTGGGAGAAAGAGATGAATGGACTGAATGTAGAAGCCACGACATAACCATGTTATTTATGCGTTGCCATCGAGCGTGGTCCCGATGACCCTCGGGAGGAGGCGGTAAGGTCCCGTCAACGAAACAGAATTTGTTGCGACCTTTAAGCGCCATTGTCATGGCAAGGGACCAAGAAGAATAATTCTCGAGGCCCATAAGAGGCTGGCCGACGAGAGAGACGCCGGGATTGTCGGAAGAGAGCAAGTGATAAGGGCTTTCAAGGTCATAAGGAGAAGACTTTTCATGGCCAAAAGAATGAAGTGAGCTGGTGGGATTAATGTCATCATCATCATGGGTGGAGGAAGCATCATCGTTGGCCATGGAGGTGCTGAAATTTTTGGAAAAACTTACAGCATGTTAAGGAGAAGTGGGAAAAGAGGAAAAAAATCCGTCTGATACCATGTGGAAAAACTAGAATTGAAGGCTATGTATTATTATTGACATAATAAGGAGTATTTATACAATGATAATGGGCTGCAACGGTAGTGCTATTCTAGGCAATAAATCAAGGAATAAAAGTAATCTATACAAGGTAGTATCTAATTATGGAGACTAATGCCATAATAGAATTTAGCCGTTACACAATTAGAATTGCTTATTGCTTCATAGTATCGTTTTTTGTTGAGTGAGTCATCTCGGATTTCATTTAAACTCACATTTTAACTCCATATATGATATATTACTCCTTAATTTGATTTTGGGCCCGATTCTTGGTCAAAACCTTATCTTATCGACCAAGTCCACACCTATTTTATGACAGTGTTGACATGGAACATACATCCATTCCCTTCTGGTTTTGGAATCTACAATCCTAAGTTTCAAGAGTAGGGAGACCGTAACCATTCAACCATATTTGGTGTACACGCTAGTTGTACAAATTGTGAAGAGAATTGTTATTCATATTGACTAAAAGAATTGTCTCTGCCACATATAAGAAATTGTCTATGTGAAAAACGATTCTTTTCACGAAACGAAAAAGAATTGTCTGTGCACATGTAATTTGACCGACGTGTAAAATGTTGTGTACAACTTGACATGTACAAAGTACAAACTGCATTTTTCATAAGAAATATGGTTGTAATTAGTTTTTCTTTTTCCAGAAGATTTTGATTCAAATCCTAGCTATTTACTTTTCTAACATTTTGTTTAGATTTTTTCCCAATATTATTCTAATAATGGAGTAATATTGGACTGACTGCATCCGTGATTGGGTATCCGTTACTGTGCGTTTACTAGAACAGTGTAACTTCCGCCATCATTTTAAACTCCAACGCTGCTTAACTCATTACCAGTAGCACCGATCCCTTAACCGTATTTTAACCTTATAACATACGGAGTACATCACAGGAATCTTGAAAAAGATCATATTTTTCATTTTTGTATGGCACTGCTTTGTCGGCCAACTGCGTCCTGCGGAAAGTGCCCACCCCCATGTGCGCGCCCCACCCGTTCGGTCAAATGCCCCACTGTAGAAATCATCCCAAAGAAGCAAAATTTTCTCTTTTGCAAACATTTGAACGCATTTGGTGGCAAGTCTGTGCTCCATCCAGGGAGGTTGGAAAAGATGATAGAAGGGAAATAAAGTATTAGTTTAATCTGAACCAGGTATAACTACTGCGAGTTATTTCAGACTATTAACTCAGAAAGATAGTACTTTTACTTGTAGTAGTAGAAAGGAAAAGGAAGGCTATGCTCAAATATCAAAGTCATTAATAATTGAGCAACTTCCCTATTAATATTTTCATAGAGCAGACAAAGATACTTTGGACATCAATAATGTGCGTGCCTTTCCCATTACAGTGACTTGACGGAATATTCAATGTTACAATGTACTTGCCTTATGTTTTGGATTAGATCCAAGAATTTTAGTGGATTCAGTTATACAGCAGGCCTGCAGCTATCCTAGCTGTACTGCCATAACTTATACGGGATTAGTGCTTAGTTCTAACTTTAATTTATTAGTTGTTTGAAATTGTTTCAACTTTCAATGAAGCAATCATCATTGCCCGAGCTGTGGTGCTGGGCATTTATTTTTCTGGGTGCCTACCATTGTTTAGTAGATGCAAATCAAGAGCATGATCGGATAACATACTTGCCAGGTCAACCAACAGGCAATGTTGGATTCAATCATTACTCAGGCTATGTGACCGTGAATGAGACTGCCGGGCGGGCACTTTTTTACTGGTTGATCGAGTCACCAGCCAGTATAAATCCTGAAAAAAGGCCACTCATTTTGTGGCTCAATGGTGGGCCCGGCTGCTCTTCCGTTGCTTATGGTGCTGCTGAAGAGATTGGGCCATTTCACATCAACCCTGATGGGAAGACTCTTTACCTCAATCCTTATTCTTGGAACAAGTGTATGATGATGAATCAATGTTGATGTTGTTTTAAGTCAGATGCCTGTCTGTTCCATGATATATTTCTGATGTGAACTCCTTAACATTTGTTCTGTCAGTGGCAAATTTGCTGTTTCTTGAATCTCCAGCTGGTGTGGGTTTCTCGTACTCAAATACAACCTCAGATTTGCAAACCGGGGGTGATAACAAAACTGGTATTGCTTATTGGTGCATTCTTCTTTTTAGTTCTGATATGTTTATTTAATTTTTAATGTGTTTGACTTGGAACTCCTGTTTTGTAGCTGAAGATGCATACGCATTTCTTCTTAAGTGGTTTGATAGGTTCCCTCAATACAAGCATAGAGATTTTTACATTGCTGGAGAAAGTTATGCAGGTTTGTAGCGGTTGACTTTCACACTCTTGATTCATTTACAACATATGATAAAAACAAGTCAACAACAATACATCATAATGTCATTACTATGAATGAAAACTTTATTAACTTATGCGTTGACCTTTTCAGGGCATTATGTTCCACAGCTATCTCAAATTGTCTACCAAAGAAACAAGGGAAACAAGAACCCCACTATTAATTTCAAGGGCTTCTTGGTATGACTATTGAACACTTGCAAGCTTCTTTCATTTTGTGTACTCTCTTAAGCATCCCACATAAGATATTAAGATGTTTACATGATTTGTGTCTGATATTTAAGTATAAGGTAATTCCACCTATTAAGGATGTTTTTGGGTGAGTTATAAACGCAATTTACTATAAAATCATATTTCAGTCCTTTTAAAGTTTGTTAATTGATTTGGCACCCCATAATTTGGAGTAGCCTTGCTAAGGTCAGTTTGTTTAACTCTAAAATTTGTTCGGGCCAATTTGGGTTGATAAGGTGTGTTAAGTGTTTCACATTGCATCTTTATTAGATTTGTGTCTATTAGGGATGGACTTAAGGGGGCGGAGGCCTCCCTTGGAACATAAAATCATTTGCATAAAATTGTAATACTTTTATTAGACATGCACATGTTTGCTCCCCATAAAAGTTGTAAAGTTATAAGGAGAAAAAAACTAAAATTGTTTATTTTTTAATTTTATTCAGGAACATCAAAGTTAATAAATTCTTGACTTAAACAAACCCCAATAATAGAAAAACTCATTGATTGATGATTTACGAAGTAGGATACTCAATATATAAAATAGAATACTATTTCTTGTAAAAATATCTTCAATAGATGAAATTTACTCCACGATTTTGTAAATGTCAAGCAATATTAAAAAATACCATTGACTGTAGTTAAGCAGTTTTTCAGATGAAGTTCCAGTGAAACCAAATGTTAAAGCTCGTTTAACATTGAAATTGGTGCCCAATTATTTAGTCTCTAAAAATGCCCTATTTGATAAGCAGTAAACTTTTAATATCCTCGCATGAGTAAACTACATAATCACACATAACATAAATCAATAGTATTTTACAAATACCACATAATATTATATTTAGAATCGATAATCTCATATGTATATTCAGAAAAAAAAATCCCATACGTACTTTTGTAAATTTATAAACATACAACTTCAACAAAAAAATATAATTCAAGAATTTGACTATTTATTCTAAGTTTCTAACAGGATTCATGTAATTAAATAAAGAAAAAATTATTTAAAATAGAATAGCCTGGTTTGCACCAGTGCCCCTATTATACTCTATCATTAAATAAATTGATAAATAATCTTCTAACCAGCTTATGATAATCAAATAATTTTTACTTTAATTTGGTATCACTTATGCCCTTTTTATAGCACTTGTATTATGAAAACTAAGTTATTCACTTCTCATTCTGTAAATTTAAGGTGTAGTGCTTTTAAATGTCTTGTTAAATGTTAATGGAAATGATTTTTTATTTCTCAATAAAAAGTATTCAGAGAGCACTACAAAAAAAATCGCTCCCTTGGGCATAAACCTTGGACCCATCCTGTTTCTTGATGATAGTTTTGGGTGAGTTAGACCTAATTTATTATTCTTTGTTAAAAAAGTAAACATAGTTAAATTGGACATCATATATAAGTAGGAGTTCATGGCTAAAAGAGTTGTAAAATAACTGAAAACGACCCTCCGTATGGGGCGGAGGAACTTTGAGAGTAATGATCTTCGAACTAGTTTCAGTAATCAGTGATACTCTTCCTTTTCATTTAACCTCTATTTTATTTTTTTAAAGGTGGGGAATGCAGTAATTGATGATCACCATGACTTAATTGGCACATTTGAATATTGGTGGACGCATGGTTTAGTCTCAGATTCCACATACAAGTTTCTGCAAAAAGCTTGTGATTCAGGATCTGCTACACATCCTTCAGAAGATTGTATCACGGCTCTTAATATTGCCCAACATGAGCTGGGAAATATTGATCCTTGTAGCATATACACTCAACCCTGCGCTAATGCTTCATCGCTTAGGCACAATTTGAGGGGTCATTATGTAAGTAATTTCTTGTCCAACTTGTATTGCTCCCTTATCAGTTTCACAAATACCTAAGTGGTGTTTGAACCTTGGTGAGAACACTCAAATGCTGCAGATCAAGTAGATTGCAGATAGGCTGTTTTACTTGTCAGTTTGTCACATTTAGTGTCCGTTTTGCAGACTTCTTTCCAGCCTATCAGCCAAACCTGCCAAATTTTTCACAAAACACCAACTTATTTCACTATTCCCTGTGTTAATCAGCCAAACCTGCCAATATTATTCTTATTATTAGAACTATCTAGGTCTCCATCATAATGAAAACAAGTAGAGTATAAGTTACTCTTTTGGTTGATTGGCTTTAGTTATTAAAAATAACACGTCAGAACTTCATTTTTTTAATTTATTCATAAAATTGAGCAATAGCAGCCACAATTGCAGATGATTTAGGCATTTAGCCACTTCAGCCATTTTTTGCCTTACCAAACAATCTCTTAATTACTATCAATTTTGGCGAATCAAGTATATAGCGCTGCTGCTAAGGTTTCTATTTCTTTCATTTATCTCACTTCAATTGGGCCTCTGGTAT